GCTCCAGAGTTATGGGTCACCAATTCAGCTAGACCCTGTTCGTGTCTCCACGTGATTCTCAGGGCCTAGCTCCACCACTCAGTGGTACTCACCGAATGAAAAACATCTGAATGAATCTGCTGCTWAAACATGGAGCCATACACCATYATATGGTATGTCTTTTGTGGATGTGGTGAGTAGTGGCCAGAGGCCCCTTGSGCCACTGTACGTATTCAGAAGAAGACAAAAAGGRAAAAACGAGAGAGSYACAGGCATCTTCAYGGCCACTGTACGTATTCAGAAGAAAACAAAAAGAAAAAACGAGAGAGCTACGGGCATYTTATTCCTAACCCATAACTGCCGACATGCAGACCTGAACRCCAAACTTCAGCATATATTGGTGGCCGGCTGGAYTCAGCAAACATTACGTGTGCCATCTGCTAGACAGCGTGACAACGGCAATACTGGGCAATGATACCCTTCTTGCAAATTTGTCCACCTCTGCAATGATGCCCAGTTATCGTACCCCACCCAAAAAGGAAACCCTAGACTCTCAATGAGCCCTATTTTCATAATCGGCAATTTTCAATTTTGAAATTTGTGGGGTAGCAGCGTACAGAATTCAGAATTCGGCAACCCTTGCCCAAATTTTTTTTTTTTGGGCCATGGGCGGCGGACATTTTCCGAACTCGCGCGGCGAGTTGGACATTTTTTCCAGGGAGGGTGCCGTAGGAAATTATGGAACCCCTACTTTTTTTTGTTTTTTTTAACCTTATTTTTTCTGGTGCGCTGCACGTGGTGCGGTGCTCAGTGCGGTGCGCGCAATGCGCTGCGCGTGCGCAAATCCGCGCACCGAGCTGCGCCGCAACTATGCTTTTGACTCTTTTGAGTATTTTTATCGCGTCGAGTTTCCCAGACGCCAACATGGGTGTGATATTGTTCTACTAGATGAATTGCCTATACAATACTCTTCCTTTTGAATGTTTTTAATAATGTTTTGTGAAGTAATTTCGTTATGTTGTTTACTAAGATAGACAGTAGACGGTTCATCCCCTCGAGGCCAGAGCTAATGATGTAAGGGACGCTGGGCCCGGTTCCCAGCTTATAGATGGTCTATTCAATCTTTTCAAATTTTATTTTTTTTTGGAAAGTATTAAGCTTTTATAAAAATTGTCCAAAGAACGAGGCCGGGGACCTCACAATTCAACCCAGTGTTATCCTGCTAGCCTCAGCCAGTTTGGCTTATAATACTCGACTAAAATCGGTTGCTAGAAAAATAACCTGAACCATCTGAAAACCGGGTCCAGGGTCCCATTCAAAGACCAACAGTACTTTCCAAAAAAAAATCATACTTGACGCTAAGTAAAAAAGGTGTGTAATGTCCCTCTGCCTCTGAGTCTCAATAATTCCATGACTAACGACTCAGAAGCCAATCTTATACATTCAACATGATCAGACTAACTCCAAATCACATAATTGAGGCGGAGTCAAAATTTCATGCTATCTGGACACATAGTACGAGATCTAAAGCGATCTCTACATCTTCAACTTAGTCACACAACCAAGGGGCCAGCCAGAGTTTGTTCTCTGGGTCAGTCTTGCAGAGTACATCTTTGAGGGACCATGTCTTATTAAACCAGTATTTCCCTCGTCCTGCTCTCTGCCTTGCCTGATTCCATTCGGCTCTGATGGTTGTTCTCATCAACGACTTCACTATTATCTTTTGTTGATGGATGTCCACCGTTTCGTCTCTGAACACTTGAGCATTCCGGGACTTCCATATTACTTCCATCAGTATACCTCTGCAGGTCAGGGCAACATAGCCCCAGCCTTCTTGCAGCTTTGCCTTGCCTGGCGGGATACCAAAAAGTATCCAATCATCTGACCATTCCCAGTCCGGTGCCACCTGAGCATCCCAAAAGGCTTTCCACCACATCCATAGCTCATCAGCCAGCGGGCAGTATAGCCATAGGTGTTCCGTAGACTCCCAACCCCAGTTGCAGCGTCGACACGTAATGCTCAAATCCATGCCCTTAGTATGTAGCCATAATGCTGAAGTTGTCACTTGCATGGATTGAGTCCACGTTAAACTCGCCTGCCTCTGAGATGGGATTTTCCTYAGAATTTTCCAGAAAAGAGGAAAATCCGGGGGGGTTTCTGTAGTCCCCCTAATCTTATGGAATCTTCTTACCGCCACGTCCACAGGCTCCTCTTTTCTCAATCGACATGCTGCGACCCCAGTCCTTGGTACATATGCACAAAGAGGGTTTTTTTTTCCCTTACTGGATTTCCAACCGAAGAGGGTTGGATCAACCTTATAGGAAGCAGCCTCACCATCCAGTAATGTTCCTCGTCGAACAGTTTTGTTATCATTGTTCATCCAGATTCTTATTTCTACCAGCTGCTTTGTAGTGTCAATAGTCTTTTCTTTCACAAAGGAAACTTCCCTCCCCATCTTCCCTTCTCTACCCACCCCCCAACATTCAACCCTCATCCCTTGATGAAGATCCGGACCCAGGACTCTCAGTACCTCCTCCAATCTTGTCGCTGAAGGGTCTACCAGCCATGTAAGCTGACTGTGTTCAGACTCCTGTTTCAACACACCCTCCCAATGACTGGGGATCGCGTTCAACAATGCAGTGAAGTTATCCTTTACTGACCGAATTCTGGGTAGTCTTTTTTTAATATCTTCGTAAGAGAACCAGGCTTGGTTGTCCTCGTCCCAAAGGTGCTTCACTTGAAGGATACCTTTTTCTATCCAGGACTTGGCAAAACCGCCTCTCATTTCACCCATTGTGGGAAACGGGGTGCCTGATTCCGATTTAATCAAGCTGTTATCAAACAGGGTTTGATTAGCTACTTCCAACTTAGAGGAAGGCTGATTCAGTGACATGGGCCGTATCTTTGACCAGGCTTTAAGAATTGCAGTCCATATTCTGGATTTTACTTTTCTCCTTCCCATGTCTGTTTGCACTAAGCAAGCCCACACCTGCCCACCATCACCGAGTGACCAGTCCCTCTTAAAAATATATTCAGCCATCAGTATCCAGCTCTTTTGTTCTTTATTCTCCATCTTTTCAATTCTTTTGCCTATGCTCCCTGAAGAGCAACGTGTGTCTGCGGTACCAACGAGCCTAAGGGCCAGATCCCACTGGCAAAGAGGATGGGAACGAGTGTCTGAATCTGGACGTCTTTGTGGCGAGGTGCAGAAAAACTGTGATTGATCTGCTATTCTGCATCTCGCCGTGGGACGCGTCCAGTTTCAGACACTTTTTCCAATCGTCCTTGCCGGTGGGATCTGACCCTAAGCTGAGATGGTAAGCGCATGAACTGTTGAGTTCTATTCCAAATGTAACTGGATGATCTGAATAACGCGGCTCCGATCAGTTCGACAATGATTTCTCAAGGCCGTCGTCACTTTTTTTTCCCCCGTCTATATCTATTTATCTATATCTA